AGATATGGAAATCGAGCACACCACAGTTTTGTGGCTCAACATGGTGTTGTATAATACAGTCGTGCACCTCGTTTTCGGCCCCGGTATGGCTTAATAACCTGCACAATCTAATGATTGGGCCACATGCATTGCGCAAATGAGTTGCCCATCTCCTTTGGACCAAATAACCTCAAGGAGGGATGAAACGCCGCACTTCCGCCACGATGTATCAGCTCAATCACTTCACCATACAACAGCTCATTATAAATTTTGTCGCAAAAGGCCATGGCACGTCGCCCGTCCGCCTATTCTACGTTGAATCTCGCCAATAAGCATACATTGTGCAGGAAGGCAGCCACAGAGCCATCATGGACACTGTCTCTGTTTTACAAAGGCGAGACGTATACCCCCGTCAATATCTATACAGCGATGAAGTGGTGCTCAGAAGGTTGGCAAGACGTATCGACAATGACCATACGAAACTGTTGGAATCACACTGGTATTGTGTCGAAGATGGACTTATGATTTGTACTTATTTAAGGTAATACAAAGTAGTACTTTTGGACTCCATCTGCTCCTCTATAAATATTCGCAGCTCGTAGACTCTATATGGTCCACCCCGCCGAATACGAGGTGCACGACTGTACATCGATCGATCCTCGATTCAATTTTATCCGTAGAGTACGTGGCAAATGTGTTACCAGCACATTTCACTGATATTCGAAAGAAACCAACACAAACCTGTCACTTCTCAAGTGCCTCGCACCACCAAAACCAACACCTCCGGAATTAACGCAAGACCGCTAGAATGAAGACTCAAGTATTCATCGCTACCGCTGCTTTGACCATCGCTGCGACGATGGACTCGGCTTACGCCCTCGCCAAGTACCTCGACGAACTCCCGAACGGCAGTCTCTTCCAGCAACCTCTCGGACACCCTGGCAGCGACAGCTCCAAGACGACGGATTTTGCTAAAGCGTTTGCTGCCGCCGGTCACACGTGGTCCAAAAGTCTGTGTGAGGCCAAGTTTCCTGGCTCGAGCATGACCAATGGTGCCGCTTTCGGTGACCCATGCTGCACGTGGAAGAAGGGCGGTAAACCGGACTTCACGGTGACTGCTTTCACGACTACACCCGGAAAGGCCACGACTTGCGCCTCGAAAGGTGGTGCAAGCGGAACTTCCTCGGCGGCTGGTGCGTCTGGAGCCTCTGACGCTACGAAGGGAGGCTCTCCAGCGAGCTCTGATGATGGAGCTGCTAACGCTACCAAGGGCGGGGCTGATGACACCACCGCAACCTCTGACACTGGAGCTGCAAACGCGACAAAGGGCGGGGCTGACGACACCACCGAGAGCTCTGATGATGGAGCTGCTGACGCGACCAAGGGTGGAGGTGCCACCGGCACTACTGAGAGCTCTGACACTGGAGCCAGTACCGGCAGCGCCGACACCGAAGGCAGTGAAGGATCCGCAGGACCCACCAGCAGTAGCTCGCCGAGTGGAGCTGGTGATGCCACCAAGGGCTCTCCTTGGGGTTCAAGCTCCACCCCGACTTCCGGTGGCGGTTGTGCTGTCAAGAGAACTCTGCGTCGTTAGACGTGGAAGACTCTTCGCTATTTGTCCACTGGTAGCTAGTTTTCGTAGAAAGAAGTAGCGAGAGAAGCTGCACATTTTCCAATTTCTCAAATCTTTTGAGAAACAAATACATGTTGATCGTTTGTTTTGTTGTCAAACATCAGCAAATTGGCGAGATATCCTACTGTATTCTGGTAGTCGTTTTTACTGTAGTATTTTGGGTTGGTGCCTTTAAAAAAAAGACAACACTTGCGGTGACCATGGGCAACGTGTGCTGCGGCGGTGGTAACTCAGAGATGCTGGCTCGGCAGGAGCTGCTCAAAGAAGGAAACGATTTCAAGAAAAAGAGCGCTTTCCTTGGGGTACTCAGTCGTACTGAAAACGTCCACTTGCAGCTAAATTCTGCGGGTGCAAGGTGATATTCTTTTTTATAAATCAGATTTGCAAACAACCAGTCTAATGCAATTTGCTTCTTCGTGGCAGGCTGATGTGGCGACAAACACCCGGTCCAAGTAGCTCTGAAGAGTTGCCAGTTTACAGGATTGGCAAAGTATGTCCGATGGGTACGTCGACGTTTACACCAAGCACTTGCAGGAGTTCTAATGCACTGGGTCTTGTGCAGGTCGTCTTGACCTGGTGCTTCTCGGACAAAGTGGGCAGAAATTGCTTGAGCTGACAGCAGAAACGACGACTGTCCGAGATCTCTGGGTGCAGACGTTGGAAGAGCTGTGTCTAGCCGACCAAGCAGAACGATGTGAGGAGGATTCCAAAAGCTTAAAGGAAAAACTGGAGAAACAGCAAGAGAAGCAAAAAGAGGTACAAGTCTTAAAAGTTCCGGTCTCTAAAACTCTGTCTGACGATCTAGTTATGTGACAGCAATACTGGAAAGATCGAACGGACGAACTGGAGAAGCGACGGCGTGAAGCTGAGGAACGCAAGAAGAAGATTGGCGTTATAGGAATGAAATACACAGCCCAAGCGATGGCCAACAGATAGAGTAAAGCAGTAGAAGCCACAAGGAGCTTGATAATTATTGCCGCGAGGAATGTTAGATTTATCACTTCCGAATTTGTGCTCGACTCATTTTTTCATCGTTAATCTTGTTCCTCGTGGATGTGGAATGACGCAGCCAACTCCAGCATACTGGTCGTATCCAACGTGTGTCCGTGGACTGGACCAATCGCACTGAGCACAGCAGCTTTTGCGACTACACCAACAGGAATCGCAGCTCGCATTTCCTCTCCAAAGAACGGCATGTAGCTTAGAGCAGTTGAAACTGCACCAAGGTCTCTCGCCAGGAATGAGATTGGCGCCCCTGCAAGTTGCAGCGGAATCCCTCGACCCTTTATAGTGCGTCTCCAGCCGTAGATGAAACCCGGACGCAGCGCCACGCCTGTGCTGGGGAATCTAAAACCAATACAATACAGTAGTTAGCAGCAAAGTAAAAAGCCTAAACGTTTTCTCTGCGTCACCTCGACTGCACAGCTTTTTCGGCTCTCTGCTTGCCATGGTAATAGCCATACATAGGCAGCCACGACGGGTAGAACGAGCCTACGCGCGAGTTGGAGACGAACACGAAGCGCTCCGCTCCCGCTTTCTGTGCTGCCCTCGCCGCCACAATCGTAGCGTCTCCGCACACTTTCTCCATGAGCTCATTGCTGCCGAACGCACCCACCGTCGAGACTGTGATCCAAAGCCCTAAAGTCAGTACACGATCATCTTCAACGCGCTCTTCCACTAAACGTACTGACGCCCGTGACGCCCTCCACTGCCTTTGCCAGTTGCTTCTCGTCGAACACGTCGCCCTCGTGCCAGTCCACCTGGTCGATCCAGGGCACGTCCTGCCATTGCGGCTTGCCCGACGGGTTGAGGCTGCGCACTTCGATTCCTTTTTGTACGGCGCGTTGCAAGATGTTGCTGCCCACGAAGCCGTTGCCGCCGATGACCAGCACGCGGTGCTCGCTCTTGTCGTAAGCCTTCAGCGTGCGCATCGTGCTTAGACGCATGCGCTTCGACGCGGCACCCAGCATTGTCATGTAGTGGGAGACCTCACTAACTGGTTGCTGGTCAATTGAAGAGTGAAGTTGGCTGATACTTTACGCAAGTGTCACGAAAATAGTACGCGATCTTCAGTAAACCAAAATTCTAATGTTTAGAAGCTGTCCGATTTCTGAAAAGCAACAAATCCTTGGATATTCTAGATCCATAAATCTATGCCATGTTGAAGTGCGATCTGAAAGGTCGTAATCTGAAGTAACGGACACTTTGCATTCTGCACCAAGGAGGGATGGAACGTGTAAGCTGCTGGAGGCCTCGCAACGTGGACGATATGAATGTGCTAATTGCTGTGTCTGCTGCAGTCGAGTGCCATGTCCGCTTCAGCTTTCGCGCGATCTCGTGCGGCTCTGCGACGCAAGCCTAAACCGGTGAAAAAGGTATTGGACGAAGAGGATTTAGAGGAGATCAAGGAGGCTTTCCATCTCTTCGATACGGACGGCAGTGGCAGCATTGACGTGCGCGAGCTGAAGGCTGCGATGCGAGCGCTTGGCTTCCAAGTGAAGAAGGCGGAGATCCGCCAGATGATCGCCGACATTGACAAGGACGAGTCGGGGACGATCAACTTGGACGAGTTTATCGAGATGATGACCGGGAAAATGGTAAGCTGCACTGGAAAAGGACAAACAAAAGTGGCAACACGAAGAATTAGCTCATTGTATTTGTATTCATATCGATCTAGAACTCGCGAGACTCGCGTGAGGAAATTATGAAGATCTTCCAGCTCTTTGACGACGACAACACGGGCAAAATCTCGTTCCGAAACTTGAAGCGCGTGTGCACCGAGCTGGGAGAAAATCTGACGGACGAAGAGATGCAGGAGATGATCGATGAAGCCGACCGCGACGGAGACGGCTTCATCAACGAAGAGGAGTTTTTTCGCGTCATGAAGAAGCGTAGCGGTAACCCTCTGGACGATCTAGACAGCGATGATGACTGATTCCTCCCAATACATTAGGCTAACTAAGGGTTCTAAACAAGATCACCTTTGTCTATTGGTAGTGAGCGCAGTGCCGCCTGAATACGGGGGTCTGTTATGCTTGCTAGTCGTTTCTCTAACTTAACCGATTGCAGGATTTCTTGGACGCTTCGCTTTACAATGCGAGTATTTGTTACGGATGTAGCCATTGGTGCGGACGATAGCCGTCCAATACTAGGATGCTTCGATGGCTGTAGGTCGACGATGTTGCAGCGAACTCGAACCGTTGTGCCAGTGGATTCCGATTTCTGTCCTAGTCGACTCGTAATCATGGTGGATAAAGGAGAATCGTCGGTATTAACCTCCCGCAATTGACCTCTTGTGAGCTCGACATCTTCAATACTTTCATCGATGCCCAGAAAGAGTTCTTCCATCTGGTCACTAATGGAGGTAATCGGTTTGCGAATAGGAACGTCGGAATCGTAAAATCCGGAGCAATTCCCTAGTTTTATCTCACCATGGCCTTGTGTTCTTTTCCTTCGCCACGAATCTCGAGAATACACGCTTAAGTGGAGGACTGGACACGGAACAATGTCGTCATCCCCCTCGTCTGCGCCATTTAATGCTTCATCCTTAACAAGTTTCAGATTGAAGTGCTGATGCCACCCAAACGCTACGGAAGTCAAACACCCAGGATACTCGGACCGCTGATGTAACGCATTACGGGTTTTGCCACGCCTCCTAGTATATATTACCCAGGCTGTATTTCCACTGCAGAGTGTCCAGCCACGCACGGGTAGCTCCAGACTCCATACTCCACCAAGATCGCAGTCCAGTTGTTTGCGCGATTTATCGTCACGCCCAGCCACTCTCCCGCGCATATCTCTATCATTCTCCGCTGCATATGCAGTCACACTTTTGCTTCGGATAACTTTGGATCCTGACTCAGTAGCTGCCATCGAGACACCTCCGCAAAGTCGCGCTTCTCCTCTTGCAAGCGAATGTCTCGAGAAAGTCTTTGGTCTTCGGAAGAAGCAAGCGGAAGAAGGTCATGCATGCTGTCTAGCACATACTCATAGAGTGAGCCGCCAGGAGTCGATATATGGTACGTCGACAGCTTGGGGCCTTTGATAAGTAGATCTGGGTCATTTTCTGGATCGACGATTGGTGCCGAAAACCCTGGTGTAGCACAGAATAATCCAGTCTCCTTGTAGAATCGAAGAGAGCAAAGTACACGCTCGACGCCTTCGATAAGAGCAACAATGTGCATGGCACGAAATTCATCTTCGCGGTTGGCTCGAAGCCAAGCACGGTGTTGATTGGACGTCCACGAAGCTTCAAGCCGCTTGTCCCGAGGTCGTCGCGTAAGATCTGGGGGAATGAGATGCGTCACGCTACTTTTCGAAGTAGTTGGCGGGTCTTTTGCATACTGCGTGGATTGTAGTCGGTGGATCGATAAAAAAAACTCGCCGCACAATGTAAAAACTTCTTCAACGCACATACCTCCTCGGGAATAAAATCATCAACATCGACGTATGAATACAAAACGTCGGCGTTGCCACTCTCAAGTGGTTCTTCATCTTGACGCTAGAATATAATTATAAAAACTAAATTCATCAGAGGGTACACAAAAACAAAAATTCTGTAGCTATCGTACTTTTCGAAGGATTTCTCCTGCTTCGAGACGATCCAGCTCTCGCTTCTTCTCGCTTGAGCGACCCCATAAACGTTTAGTACTGCAACCCCACTATCCTTTATATCGCTCAATGAGATAGACATACCTTATACTGAGCTTTTTTTCTTGCCACTGAAAGCTGTACGTCCACGTTTTCCCTACCGGTACTGAGTTATCGCTTCCAAATCCCGAGATCTACAATTCCTTGCACTTATAAGATTCTACAAACGACTTTCCTTATAACAGTATCCTTACCACACCTTGCGCAAGGTCACGCCAACGAGCAGGTTTTCCATGGGATCGCGCACATGGTAAAACTGTGTCAAAGGCATGTAGATCTCCTGTCGTCCCGGGCTCCTGTCGATCACTGTACGTACGCCCTTTCAAGTGTAGCCATGTTCTGGAAATGCGTCTTTTCGAGAACACTTGCGGATCTCTCTTCCTATTCGAAAATGAATGGATTTGCTGGAGAGGACACAGTCATCCCGCCAATAAATGGTGCGCTCGCATGTCATTCTCGTTTACGATACACCAGATCATAACAGTGGTGCTTTTTTGTTGTTGTTGAGTGGTTTAGCCTACATTTTAGCTGGAGAGGTAGCGTACGCTACAGCTTCGCACTCGTCAGACGATGAGTAAGATAAAGGTTGCTGTTATTTTATTTGTAACAAATTGTTCTGAGAGCTGCAGCGTTGGAAATTACAGATACATTGATGAGGATGATCACTGGCACGATCTCGGTATGGTTGATGTGGAGGTAAGCGTTCAGTGAGTTCTTACGAAAGCTGTAAAAGCAAAAGCTGAGCGGTTAATGATCAGGCTGAAACGGAGTCAATGCGTCACGCAGCCGAAGTTCGGCTGCGTGCCCAGTCGAACGAGCTAAAACGATTCCATGACAAAATTTGTCAGCGCGTGACGGAGCGAGAACGTCAAAATCGACTTGAAGCCCAGCGCGCGCAGAAGAATTTGGTGAGTGATATTCATGAAGTTTTCTAACTTTTATAGTGATCCTATAATCTGACTTGATGGGTTCGTGTAGGATGCGAAGTGTGCAAAAGTGTTTTCAACTACAGTGCAGCCAACTGGGAACTCTGTGACCACACGACTTTCAACTCGTCCGTACTTTCAGAAATTGATAAAAGACAAGAAAGCCATTCTCAAGGTTTGTCAGACGAATTACCATGCTGTGTCTGTGGCGTGGCAATTAAAGTTTTCTTGTTGCCTATTCATTCCAGGATTGCCCGTTAGGAAAACACATTGAAAAGGTAAGAAACGGTCGGTGACAGTCAAGCATTCCCTCTCTTCATCGCTGTGAAAATGTGGTATTAGATGCTGCGTTTAGATGCCAAGATCCGAGATGATCTACTGCGGTCTACTGAACCTTCGAGCTATCAAGAAATATCCAACAACGACGAATATGGGAGTGATGAAGGCCAAGTTATAAGCGAGTCGGCTGCAGCACCAGCTTTGCTCCCCGAACAGGTACGTAACTTTGTCAGTATGCTTGAGATATATGCTTATCGCTTCCTTCTGTGTTGCAGCGTGTTGCTCTGTACGCAACAGTGCGCCGGCAATACATGGAAATGAATCGTGCTCAAGTTAAAAGCGACTGGCGAGAAGATTCTCAAACAAACAAGAAGTGTAAATCTCCAACAGCTGGTCGAAGCAGGCGAACTCGCGACAATTCAGACGATAGCATTAAAGAACACGGCAGTACGACTTCTACTGGAGTTACAGTGTACGTAAGCCACTCGATCTGTTTGTACTTTTATCCAACGTGGCAATTTTTCTTCGCAGTATCGATATGACGTCGGGCTGTGACGTTCGAGTGCATCGTCAAACCACCACATCATCCACGCCATGGAGAAAAAAGGCTGCAAAGGGCAACAAAGTTCAATCAACAACGAGAGAGCATGAGCGTTTCCTGCGAGCTCTGCAAGCGCAACTAGGAACTCCAGCTCTCTGTTCGTGTGCTAAGACCGGGTCGGCGCAGCCGTGTGCTAACAATTGCGCGCTGTACAAGCAGCCTAAAAAGCGTGAAAAACTCCTCACTAGTGTGTACAAACAGCAACAGCAAGACGTTACCACCGCTGCTGGTTCTCCGATCCGCTAGATCTGCATCTTTAGGCACTCAATTCATTCACCCAACTGACCTTTAATTCTACACCGTCATGATGACTTCGCCGTCTTCATCTTGCACTTCTTTGTCGTCGCCACCTGTCCAGATACCGTTCCACACAGTGCTCCAGATATCAGGGCCATGTTTTTCAACGTATCGATGGAACGTTTCTTGCTCACGTTGTGCCTTAGACGTCCACGCGTCGAGCTTCAGTGGCTGCGCTGGAGGCTTCTGAGGCCCCTCGTCCTCTTCATCAACAGGTTTCTCGAGCTGATGCAGATCCATCACGCTCATGTTACTGTGCGTGCTATCCGGAGGGCCTCCCGCGACGCTACTAGCCGTGCCATCACTGGTATGAGAGAGAATGTCGTGGTCAGTCTCAATCTGCTATACACAGAGCCGTAAGAAAATACACCCACACGAGCGTAACACTACCGTTTGAGTACCTGCTTGTCTACTGTAGCCATCTGTCGCATCTGCTCTTTCAGGCTGTCCAATTGCTGCTGTTGGTCTTTAATGTAGACGGTAGCGTCCTCCAATTGTCTCTGGACAACTGCCTTCTCGTCTCGTAGCTTACGGACGTAGTCTAACATGATGCGCTCTTCTCCGAGCATCTGAATTTCCTGCGATTCCTGCACGAGAGCTTCGATGGTTTTCTTTAATTGGTTCACGAGCAGATCCTTCTCTTCCAGCTGCAATCGTAACTTCCCATTCTGGACTTCATGAGGACACCCTGACACTCGTTCGCTATTAGTACACGAGGGTTCTCCACTCTCATCTGCTTCAACTTCATCCTTCACGTGAACTTCCATGGGTTTATCACCCTCGTCACTCTGACTTAAGCCATGGGAGAAGAGTTCCTTCACCTCCTGCTTGGTTGCAAGTTCCAGCGCCGTTTTGTCCTTACTTATCCCCTTGTCGCCTCTCAAACTCACGTCTGCCTGGTGCAATAGCAACATTTGGGTACATTCCACTTGGTCAGCGTGACATGCCAAGTGTAGTGGCGTGGCGCCTTCTCCGTTGCGTGCATTGATTAGCGTTTGGCTTTGTACATCTTCTCTCTCTAGCAAGTATTTCATCACATCCACCGCTTGGCAGGACGCCGCCCAATGCAACAGTGTTCCTCCTGTGGCTGCATCTGTGATACTGACGTCCACGCCAGCCTTGAGCAACTGGCGGACGCTCTCAACGTCATTCGCTGCGACCTGTTGGATCAAAAACTGATGAAACACCAGCACCAGGTCCTGCGCTTTCAGCTCTTGAGCCAGAGCATATGCGGACCGATTCCTGTCGTCTTGGCCTTCCTGTTTCTTGCTCTGATGCGCCGGGGGAAAGCCAGCGGCCAGAAGAACTCGAAGTGCATCCTTCTTGCCACTCGCCACAGCCACGTGAAGCGGCGAGCGACCAGTCACGGGGTCCACTACATTCGCTAATGACAGATGACCGCGTCCGTGATCGGCCAGCGCCTTAATAACGTCGGAGCGGCCATATTCAGCCGCCAGGAAGAAGCCGTCCAGCGCCTCCTGTAGCTCTTCCGACATGGTTCAGCTCAATTGGATTGTGGCCACGTCGTTTGCCACTTTATGCAATTTGATTCGCCAAAAAACAGTTGGTCTCAACGTCGAACATCGTTGTTGGCAGTCAATTGCCCATCGTTGGAGACGAGTTTTGCCACTACGAGTTTTTTATAAATATGTTTATTGGATTGATGTAGTGTCTAATTCTAGTGCAGCGATGGAGCCCCACCGCGAGAGCTTCGCCCTGTTTTCCTTCGACGGAAGAAAAACAAAGGCAAAAGCAGCGGAGGGAGGGGTTCCAAATCAATATTTTAGCCTATTCACACGCAAACTTGCTGCTCCACAAGTCGAGGGACATCGTCGTTGACCTGCTCTGCGTCGCAGTAATTTCCATCGCCTATACGAGCACTCGCTTACAGCTCCTTCTCCTTGGTCTCGACATCCTTCATGAACTGGTCGAGCTTGCCGGTAGCAGCCAAGATGAGGCCGTGGAACGGTGGTGACGGGTCGTTCGGGTGCGATTTGAACTCCGGGTGGTACTGCGTGGCGAAGTAGAACGGGTGGACGTCACGGTCGAGCTCAATCACCTGCATACGCTCGCCCTTGGTGTCCGTGCCGACAAAGTTGAGGCCTCTCTCACGGATAGCAGGCACAAGCTCCGGGTTCACCTCGTAGCGGTGACGGTGACGCTCCATGATCGGCGTGTCCTTACCGTACAGGTACGACACCAGCGAGCGCTTCGCCGGGTCTTCCTTCTCGTGCACGATGGTGCGACGTGCACCGCATCGCATAGTGCCGCCCATAACCTCCGGGTTAATCTCCGGCATAAAGACAACCACCTTGTGGCCTGCATCAGCGTCGAATTCCTCGCTATTGGCATCATTCCAGCCAATTACGTTGCGCGCGTACTCAATCACAGCAACTTGCATGCCCAGACAGATACCTAGGTACGGAACACGCTTCTCACGAGCATATTTGGCGGTCAGAACCTTGCCGTCCACGCCACGGTCACCGAATCCACCGGGCACCACGATACCGTCCACACTGCGTAGCTTGGTCCAGGCCTCATCGTAAGCTTTGGGGTTCTTTTCACGCATTTCCACTTCCAAGTCGCTGGCTTCGATCCACTCGATCTCAAGATCACGGTCGCACTTCATAGTAGCGTGTTTAAGCGCCTTGATGACACTCAGGTACGAGTCCTGCAGACCTGTGTACTTGCCCACGAGCGCGATCTTGCACACCTGCTCGAACGAGTCCACACGGTGAGCCATAGCAGACCAGGCCTCAAGATCCGGCTCGCTGAAACGGTTCATCAGCTGCAGCTTGGACATGAGGATACTGGCAGCTCCCTGCTTGGACAGCAGCAGCGGAACGTGGTAGATGTTGCTCACATCATGCACGGACAGCACGTGGTTGGCCGGTACTTGGCAAAACATGCCGATCTTGGCCTTAGTGGCCGGCTCCAGTTCAGTACTGCTACGGCAAATAATGACGTCCGGGGAGAGACCGGCACTGCGCAGTTCCTTGATGGCGTGCTGAGTAGGCTTGGTCTTCTGCTCACCGACAGAGCCAAGAACCGGCACCAATGAGACGTGCACAAGACAAAAGTTCTCCGGGCTCACACGGAACTGGAACTGACGCAGAGCCTCAAGGAAGACCATGCTCTCAATGTCGCCGACGGTTCCTCCGACCTCAATAAGGCAGACGTCGGCCTCTTCGTCGTCCACAGCTCCGGCCCCACCAGCGTGCTTACCGTCCACACCGATCTGCGCAACACGCTCGATCCAGTCCTGGATGGCGTCGGTCACGTGGGGCACAACCTGCACTGTCTTGCCCAAGTAGTCGCCACGACGCTCCTTCTCGAGCACGTGCGTGTAAACTTTGCCCGTGGTGATGTTGTGGTCGCGCGTGAGCGTGATGCCCAGGAAGCGCTCGTAGTTGCCTAGATCCAGGTCGCCTTCGCCACCGTCGTTGAGCACGAACACCTCGCCGTGCTCGAACGGGGACATGGTGCCGGCATCGCAGTTGAGGTACGGGTCAATCTTGATGGACGTGACGCGCAGACCCAGCGACTTGAGCACGACGCCGATGCTACTGATGGTGATGCCCTTGCCCAGGCCACTGACGGTGCCGCCGGTCACTGCCAGGTACTTCATTTTGAGAGAGTGGGAGTGATGGTACGAGTCACGCACTGCTGGCAACAAATGGCCGAATGGCAACATGGTTTTGGTGCCGTTTTGACTCGCGAAGAGCTACGGGTCACGTAACTGCCAGACCCGCAACTCAATTTACATTAGTTTGTATTGGGAATGGGCTTGGCTCAGACCCGTTGGAGTGTGCTAGAAAATGGACAGTCAAATTGGTTGGTCGCCTGAAGATGGCGGGAACGCCGACAAAGAGGGTTTCCAGTTGGCGCTTATGATCGGCTCCATGGTTGCATTGAATGCTGTGCTGAGGTGCCAGCACCACGGCAACAAATTTAAAATCAAAAAGTGCTCATCGCTGTAGGCCAAGAGCATGCACATGAAGCAATACAGCTGAAATTGGGCTACATGTATTCGCAATACAATTTCGAGTTGCATGTGCACAGAGCGCAGTTCGACAGTCGTTCAGGAGTGGAGTGGTTAATCCGAGCTCGTTCACTAAGGCTTAGTCGATCAACTCGTGACTAAGCATCATATCATCAGTTCTAAAAAAAATTGTGCTCTCGAAATGCACTACATGTAGTTCTTGCGTTCCTAGTCATGAACAAAATGAATACCATTTCCACCCGTTGAAGTATCATGCTTATAGCAAAGTCGTCATTAGCTCTCATTCCCAGCATCTCATTCCGGCTTTGGTGTCGTATTTCCCTCCGATAGGTTCTGCCGACTTCACTATATTCCTGGCGGATATCGCCAAAAGTCGCAACTCGAAACGACTGAGGAGCAGAGGAATAAGTAAGCTAAACTGAACGCAATGGTAGTGAATGAAGCTGAAGAGGCGAAGGCAAGTGCGTCGCTGGCCCGATTGCGGTTGTTCCTATCATCACATGCCCCAAATGGACCAGGAGAGGATCGTGCGGCATCTCCGGAACGCTCCGCCCAAGAAGCCCCGAAAAGCGACGAACACGACGAAAGTAATTCTGAGACAGCAGCGACGCCTTCCGAGCCATCCGACATCGGGTCTTTCCCCGAGGTCCTAGTGGACGACGATGACGAAGAAGAAGATGCTGGACAGACTACCATCCCTGCTGCTGGAGCGGTGGCAAGTGTGGCGCCCATGAGTCAGTCGACAAAGGAGTTTGCGCGCGTCAAGTATCTACTGCAGTGCTCATTGCCAGGGTATCGAGTGCATGAAGGCGTTGTGATTTGGGATATGCGCAATCCATCGCTAGTGGCCCAATATGAACAACACACGACGGGTTTGTTGGAGCTCGAATCTTGGGTCGCAGTAAACGATCTTGGCGCTGATATGGGCGACGTTCACAGCTACGGCTTTACGTCACTTGATGCGAACCAAACGGGTATGAAATTCACGACGGGCAACCTTCAACTTAGTGCACCTCTTGATCAATCCGGGGAGGCCAAGAAACCATCCAGCACACGTCAACTCGTTCTCTGCAAAATCGCAGTCGGTCGATCGCTGGTGATCCGCGACGAGGACGAAGCGAAAGCTCGGCTTCCTCCTGGATATCACAGCTACTATTTGCATCGTGAACAAGAAGCCGGCGACCAGCATAGCCTTCAAGCTGCACTGCTAGATCGAGGTTACTATCACGAGTATATCTTGAACAACACTTTGCAGGTGTTGCCACAGTACCTCGTGCGATTCACCTTTTCGGCAGCCGAAGTTCACGGACCTGCAGTCGGTTCATGTGCACTTTGTGAGCAACACCCGGCAGTTGTAGTTTGCCGTAACTGTGAAGCACAGATCTGTGCTCACTGTGATCAAGAGATGCATTCTGCTAACAAACTGGTGCGTCGACATAAACGCACACCTTTACGCAGCAAGTCCAAAGCATTAGCGAGTGAAGCTGCCCGACGTGGTCGACGCCGTAGCTCGACACCTCTAGCTGCTGCTATAACAGAAATAGGAGTGGAAAACCATTTGAATGCACTCCAGGAGGCAACGGAAGCTCAGATCAATGAGGTTGTTGCCAAGCAGATGGAGGAAACTCTATCGACGGATGATGCACAGACGCCTACGTGTCGAACTCATCGTGGCAAAAAGGTGGAGTTCTACTGTCCCATATGTCAGATTCCAGTGTGCGTGACGTGCAAAATGGTCGGAGATCATTCCATTGGAGAGAAAGGGTCTCACAGACTGCTAACGGTTGCGGACGCCTATGAAAGTTGTCTACGCGAGTCGTTGCGTCCTGACCCACTTATCACATCTCGCAAGACGGTGATCGAAAACAAGCTTCAACTGTTGACTCGAGTTCAACGAAGTGTGCAAGACAACAAGGCACAAGTTGCATCTGCCATTAAAGAGCAATGTGCTCGAGCTTTACGTAGCTTGGACGATGCAGTCGCGATAAAGACGCGAGTGTTGTCAGGTGAGGTACTTGAGTTCGAGCGACAACTGCAACAGATCGATTGGGTGGATGAAAGTCTGGAGGACCACCGAAAGTTAATGCCAGCGGTAGAGTTTCTAGCTGCGTGGAACCAGCACAAGTTGCTTCGAGCAGAGCAACGCGACTTTCCTCCTTTTGCACACGGCTCCAATAACAGTGCGGAGCAGGTGAAAGCTGATCTGCAACTTGCAGGCGAGCTTCGTGTCATGGCGGCAGATCAATTGGCAACACCGCATCAACAACTTGCGTTCACGGCAAACGACAGTGACCCTGCTACCAGTGAAGTAGAAAACGTAAGCGACGGTAACCAAGGCGATGGCTCACAAACAGAAGTAAAGGCTACTGCGCTACTGGCACAACACCGACGTGCAGGTGACAACGATATTCGCAGACGGTTGCTCAACATAAAAGCCTCGCTAGCGGTAGAACCCAACGGAGCCTTCTTGGCTTCGCGGCGTGCGGTGTCTCCCAAGTGTCAGGAGCTACTGGATGAGATCCGCCACGATATTCTAGTTCACAACAGCGCCAAGAAGAGTTCAGCAACTGCTGGGTCTCCGCGAAAGACCGAATCGCCTCGTTCTCACTTTGACATTCCTTTCGTCGGACTTGCGAGTAGGACGGCCGACTCCACGGCCACATTACGAGCGTTTTCGGTGCAGCCTAACGCCAAGAAAATCCCAGACGAGGAACTGCGTTCGCCACGCCAACGCCGCGGCACCAGCGCGTGGTCAACTCTTCTTCGCGACGAAATGGGGCTTGCTGATAACTGACACTCCGAGTTGCCAGCATCACGAGTGTCACAACTTGTGCAAGATATTTTTTTTTCGTGGTGCCAGACCCATTTAAGATACTTTTTTTTTCGTGGTGCCATGTGACCCATTTTTCAATTTTGATCACTTTTTTGCTTTTTTGGGGCTCGAAGACGTCGTTTCATTCAGAACCTGTCACTCTTAGGAAAACTGCCACGTGCCGACACTCTCCCATCCGATCGGCAGCTCTCTTCCTCAGACCCCACGCCTACCAGCTCAATAGGATTATTGTCAGTGTCCTTCCACTCTACACAGTGCAGCATCGACGCCAAGAAGAGTCTCGACACTTAACGCAAGAATGGTGCGCGTAATCGCTGGCTTTCCGGCGTTTTTAGCCATCGTTTCGATGCTGGTAGAGGTCGAGCAAGTGACTGGCATGACTATGGAGCTACACCGCCTACCGAAGCATGACGTTCACCCAGAGAGATACGCTAGACGCCTGAGTAGCGAAGAAGATGCGCCAGAACTCGTGCCGCTTCACTTGGGACTCGGGTATGCGTTGTTTGTATTGTTTTAATCTCGACGCCTGTGATCTAACAAGCTTGTTATTGACACAGAACGCACTACACATGGGTGTACGCTGGTACTCCACCGCAGCGAGCGTCGGTGATTGCAGATACAGGCAGTGCCTTGATGGCCTTCCCATGCTCGGGGTGTGACGGCTGCGGCCACCACACGGACCAGCCTTTCCAGGCAGCTAACTCTTCCACATTGGTCCATATTACATGTGCACAAAAGTCGCTCTTCCAATGCAAGGAATGCCACGTACAGTCCGACACGTGCGGCATCTCGCAGTCTTATATGGAAGGAAGCAGCTGGAAAGCGTCTGTGGTCGAGGACATCGTGTATCTGGGAGGAGAGTCGAGCTTCGACGACAAGGAAATGCGGAATCGATACGGAACCCACTTCCAGTTTGGCTGTCAGAGCTCCGAAAAGGGATTATTCGTCACACAGGTGGCCGACGGCATCATGGGCCTGTCCAACACAGAGAACCACATCATTGCCAAGTTGCACCGTGAGAACAAAATCGCCAGCAACCTTTTCTCGCTCTGCTTTACAGAGAACGGAGGCACAATGTCCGTTGGACAGCCACACAAAGCTGCTCATCGGGGTGAGATTTCCTATGTGAAAGTGATCGCAGACCGCTCGGCAGGGTAAATGAGGCTTTTGTGGCGTTATTTGAGGGGATCCGGTACTCATTTATCGCTTTTTTTATTGTTTCTGGCTCAGTCATTTCTACAATGTACACATGAAGGACATTCGCATTGGGGGCAAGTCTATCAACGCCAAGGAGGAGGCATACACACGTGGCCACTACATCGTGGACAGTGGCACCACCGACTCGTATCTGCCACGAGCTCTGAAGACTGAGTTTTTGCAGATGTTTAAGGAAATTGCAGGCCGTGACTACCAAGTTGGCAATTCCTGTAAGGGCTTTACGAACAAGGACTTGGCGTCCTTACCCACGATCCAGCTCGTAATGGAAGCGTATGGAGACGAAAATGCCGAGGTGATTTTGGACGTGCCCCCGGAGCAATATCTACTCGAGTCCAATGGCGCGTACTGTGGTGGCATTTATTTGTCGGAGAACTCTGGAGGTGTCATCGGAGCCAACCTCATGATGAACCGTGACGTGATCTTTGATCTTGGCGACCAGCGTGTTGGCTTTGTGGACGCTGACTGTGCTTACGCGGGAGCTGCTAACGCGACTGCGCCTCCATCTATTCACAAAGGTGGCGTAGCTACAACAACGTCTACTACGAACGATACTGCACCAGTTGTTACACCGGGAGCTGCGAACACTGTGGCCCCAACTGCTGCTACACCAGCAGCCACAACAAGTACTGTAGTGTCGACGCCCAAGCCTACGTCCGCTGCTGTGACTTCCCAGCCGCCTACGTCAACAGTGGAGGCCACAGTGAAGCCCGTGTCGGCTATAGCCACGGCGAAACCAGTCGCAACGGCGGCTGCAGTGCCTGCAGCAGTAGCCATAAAAGCTACAAAAGCTCCGGTTGTGGTGGCCACTGGCTCAAGCACAGAAGACCTGAACCTCCAGCCTTTGTCTGGGGAAACCACGACAACGAATCAGCCGTCCTCTTCTGCTAATACGGGAGAAGATAAGCCGAAGGAGAAGTCGTCAGGTACTCACCCGATGGTGCTCACGATCGTGGGTGCTGTGTTGGTGGTAGGCTTCTTGTTGATGATGCTCATTTCAGTAAGTCGACGGAGGCAAAAGGACGGCAAGGAGCAACTCTGGAGTCGTGTCAAAGGAGATGAAGAGGATGACGATGACGACGATGAAGAAGAGTTCGGGGTGGTGCGTAACGAAAAGAAGAAGGCAGTCTCCGCAAAGCACCAGCGACTAGATCAGGAAGATGACGACGACGACGATCAGAGCAGCAGCGACGAGGAGGACGAGGTTTTTGACCGGATATCCGTGCAGGAAGAGTCGAAGGTGGACAACCACACCCTGGAGCGCCTTTGAATAGGAACATGTATTTCCCAACTGCCCAATAAATGAAGATACCCAAACTTGTCTGAAAAATGCTAAAAGTGTAGCCATGTCAGCGATGAAGCCAGTATCTTTATCCGGATTGCCGGAAAATACTCCGATCTTATCTCTCCGATTGGCTATAAAAAGGCCCAAAATTACTTCTCACTTGTAGAATTCTGACATCGATGACGTCACGGTGCGCAGCGTCTGGGGTTCCGTGGCTAGCGTTTCTAGCTGCCATTGCGGTAGTAGTGTGCTCTTTAGTGTCTGCTACAGTGGCTAGTGAGCAAAGCTTCCTTAAAATCCGGCTTCACAAGCAGCAACAGCAGAGCTCCGAGCTGTCCCACAGATTGGCACACCAGCAAGCTCGAGCGCACCGACGAGCCCAAGAGGCGGTTGGCAATAGCAGTGGGAATTCTACGCGTGGGGCATTAGCACTGAGTGAAGCTCCGTTGGGTGTGGGTTATGGGTACGTGAATAATACCATGAGGAGTGACTGTTGACATGAATGCTGACGATTATGGTGCTTGTGCTTTGCAGCACACACTACGCTGAAATTCACTTAGGAATTCCTGCTCAACGTGCCTCGGTTATTGTTGACACTGGAAGCCACTTGACGGCTTTACCGTGCAGCACGTGCAATGGATGTGGAACACACACAGATCCGCTGTTTGACGTATCCAAGTCTACGACTGCAAAGTATCTAGGCTGCCATGACTTCGATTCATGCCGTTCGTGCGAAAATGATCGATGCATTATTTCCCAGGTATCAGTGCACTGCATAGTTGTACTTGGACTCTTCGCATTGCTTTTATTAATGCTGTCAATTTTATACTTGTGTAGAGTTACATGGAAGGCAGTATGTGGCACGCTATAATGGTAGACGAGCTGGTGTGGGTGGGCGGGTTTTCCACTCCAAGTGACGAGATGGAGGGGATTTTGAAGACTTTCGGCTTTCGCTTTCCTGTGGGCTGTCAGACTAAAGAGACAGGTCTCTTCATTACGCAAAAGGAAAACGGCATCATGGGTCTCGGTCGCCATCGCTCGACTGTCATGTCTTACATGCTGAATGCAGGTCGTGTGACGCAGAATCTATTCACTTTATGCTTCGCGGGAGATGGTGGCGAACTAGTCTTTGGAGGAGTAGATTACAGTCACCACACGAGCGATGTAGGCTACACTCCGCTGCTTGACGACAAGTCCGCTTATTATCCAGTGCACGTGAAGGACATTCGGATGAATGGTGTCTCACTAGGTATTGATGCTGGCACGATCAATTCAGGCAGAGGAGTGATTGTGGACAGCGGTACGACGGATACATTCTTCGATTCCAAAGGAAGCCGAGCTTTTATGAAAGCGTTCCAGAATGCAGCAGGACGGGAGTATAGCGAAAAGCGCATGGATCTTACAGCTGATGAACTAGCTGCTCTCCCGACAATTTCGATTATCCTGTCTGGAATGAAAGGAGACGGCACCGAGGACATTCAGCTGGATATCCCAGCGTCAAGCTATCTTACCCCCTCCGACAAAGTTGGATCGTACAATGGCAACTTCCATTTCTCGGAACGTAGCGGTGGAGGTAAGCTTCGTCCGCCTTTATGACTTTCTTCTTGCAGATCTTGACACTGTTCCCCCCTCGTGAATAGTTTTGGGAGCGAGCACTATGATCGGCTTTGACGTGATTTTCGATACTGAGAACAAACGTGTGGGCTTCGCCGAGTCGGATTGCGGTGCGTCACTAATACACCTTCTGAGTCAAAACCAATTGATCTTAATTTGTATTGACAGGCAAAAGCTATGCTAATACCAGCACTCAAACTCCGATCGCTTCAAATAGCACTGGACAACCAATTCCCCAGACTGAGGCGCCAGCTGCTTCAAATACGACGACACTGGGAAATACTACCCAGCAGCCAGTATCTACAACTGCTTCATCCTCAAGTTCAAGCAACAATTCGTCGGTGGAGTCGAACACAACGACGGCAGCGCTCGTCGATGTGACGGATAGTGTTGATGTGTCCACCAGTTCATCTACTGGTGCCACAACTCGTCGAGCAAGCCCCAAGTTTGGTGCTTTTGTCGCGGAAGTCATCCTCATTTCACTGGTAGGTGTAGCACTTGGTGTGATGGTTTGGACCAAGTGGCGCACGCGATCTTGGTCCCGTATCCCGAACGCGACGGAGACCTCGAGAGCACACATGGAGACAGTCGTGGATATGAACGACAATCGAAGCCTGTCACCAACATCTCCACCGGGAAGTCCGCTGTCTCCTCGGTCTCGAGCAGCTAGAAAAGGCCAGTCACCGAAGTTTACGATTGGCTCACCTGTAGATGAAGAAGACGCAGACAAATTCCGAGAAGAAGAGGAAGGCTGATAGTTTTCCTCAATCGCAATTCGGTCTCGCACCAATGTGTAGACGAAATATTACAGTAATACTACGACATGTAAATCACCACTTTTTCAAAAAATGAGCTTTTTATTGCATGTTGAAGTTAAATAATCTGACACGTTTCAGAATTTGCCTCGTTTCAGTGACATCTGACCTCAATTGTACTTTATAAGGGAGGTTCGATGAGTGCGGTAGAGCGCCGTGCGTTCCTCAACGCAGCTGCTGGCGGCGACCTGGATGGAGTGAGTGCATGGATCTCTGCGAGAAAAGATGTCAATGTGACGCTGGGCGAGGGCTGGACGGCGTTGCTCTACGCTGTTGCATACAGTCGCATTAGCATCGTGCAGAGGCTTTTAAAGGAGGAAACCGTCGACCTAAACGCCACCACAATGTACCTAATTTGTCGTGATTGATCAACCCGTGCACAAGTAAAGCTGACATATTTCTGTGTCATTGTGCTGTTGATGATCAGGACGGGATCGTCGGCGTTGACGCTGGCGCTCACACGCAAAAACAATTCACTGGTAGCGTTGCTGCTACGCAGTGGAGCTTCTCGCGCGACGATACGTGAGTAACCCTATCCAGAAGATATCGTTTGACAGTTCTGCTTGGTTAACGTTCTCATGGCAGCAGCACGTGAGATGTGGCAAGAATTGGACGCAGCAACTTGGCTTCGCGCAGAAGTTTGGCCCATGCTATCGACAGAGTGGACTGTGGTGTGGAATCCTTCATTGCATCGGCATTTCCCACCAGCTGAGCGAGAGAAGTGCCGCCTCATCGTGTACGCGAATACGTTGGCATTGCGGTATCTGGATAGGATATCGACCGGAAACGTGGCATCTTCTTCATCGTCGTCTACTGTGGTGGGATGGAGGTCTGACGCGATGAGGTACTTTTGGTGGATAGCTACAGCCTTCTCAGGACCATTTAAGACAAACGAACAGTCCGTGCGGTGGCGATATCTCTCGGAACCGCTGCTTCACCACATCATAGAATTCGCTGTCTTCCTCTGGTGAAATGGTGACGTGTTGTAAGCATACTGCTGCATGGGCAGCACTACACTGAGCCGGGGTTCGCTTGGAGCTGTACATGTAATCGTCGAGACATCTTCAGTGACGCTGTTTTAGTGTGGAAGGGAGCATTGTTGCTGACGTAGGCTGCTGAGGTCCGCACTGGGGCCAAAGGCACAGCAACCCTCTGCTTCGCGTCTCAAAGCCCTCCCAATTCTTCAAGATGGCATACAGTACAGTACATGTACCTTGTGTCGCGAGTCGTCGTGATGAGTATCAAAGTCGACAAAGATTCAAGTGGGATGTGCCGAGAGTCTTGGCGAGACGTGTACAGTATCCGTGAATAAAAGACAAAACCAGGATGCCAGCAACTCAGCACGACTTGCGCCAACGAGGCTACTGCATCGACCACACTTATTGCAACTGATCGGATGCACCCGCTTGCACGTCTACAATGGACAGTGGACGCCAAAGCAGGTGGACCTCACCAGGCTCACCTGCAATGGTCAGTGACTGCGGCCCACACCTGAGTCAGCACCGTCGCATTATTGTCTGGGACTTCGAATCCTGGCCAACATTTGGTTGGACAGCGGGCACTCTGCTGTCTTGGAATTCTCATAAGTTGACAAAAAAAAGATACCACGTCATCACAAGTGAATGAGCCAAGTGCAACTACCGGTACCTTCACTTGCAATTTCGCGTCTATATTCACCCAGAAATTCGATGCCGAGGCATCGGCTCCGTCGATGCTACCTTGCGTCATATGCAATGCGGCCCTTCACGGCGTAGACTGTGGTCGCCGACAAATTGTCGGCCAACCAGCACTGGTTCGAACTGGCTGTTCCTGTCGCACCGCCGAATTCCCCGTCTTTGATTTGCACTTGAACATGTAGTTTTGAAGGTAATAGGAGAAAGGCGACATTTACAAACATCAAGCTTAGCCCAAAGTTCCCTGCTTTAAACCATTCATCTCTTTTCATTCTATTTAACAGGTTTATTTGGTAGTGCCGTAAATCGCGCACGCGGGATAGGTATCGCTCGGCCTCGATGGCTTTGCAGCACACACATGCATTCGCACAATAACCGCCTGCCGAAACCAGCCACGTGCGCGTGGGTCAACTGACGTCGAGCGCACGCACAGGTAAATGAACTGCATCGTAGTCTAGAGCTGCCTGCGGGCGAGGGAGGAGCGTAAAGGGAAGAGGGCAGGTGTCCTGGTCGGCTGTGCTCACGTTGCCAAGATTCGCTGTCTAAAAGATTCGAGCAGGTGTTGGCTCCTCGTTTCTGCATCGAATCTCGCACCAGGTGCTCCGCTCCGCCACGCTCTGCAGCAGAGGAAAAGTTCATATTCTGAACCGCGCCCTGGGACTGATTGGTTATCAGTTGTTTTTGTCTGCCACCTTGCTCAGACTGCGATTGAGACCGAGGAAGCGAAAACGCTACAGTGTATCTACTTGACCAACAACCATGAAGTTCGGCAAGGTGTTGCAGCAGTCGACGCAGATGTCGCCCAGCGCATGGGAGCCTTACTGGTTCGACTACAAGCTGCTCAAGAAGATCATCAAGGACTGCGCGAAGATCAAGAAGGAGGAGAAGCTGCAGGGCGACAAACTCGTCAAGATCAAGATCAAACCCTCCGCCAAGGAGGACAACGACAGCATCCGTACGTTCGCAGAGAAGAATTGTGCTTCTATTGACGCGTATTGACCTTATTTGCGTCTGTTGTCGTGATAAATAGGTCAGTCGCAGGACGAAATGAACTTCTTCCGCACATTGCGTATGGAGATCAAGAAGATCGCCGACTTCTTTATCAAGGAGCAGGCTAAGCACACGAGTCAGGTCGCTGCCATCGACGCTAGCTTCCAGCAACTTAAGGTACGTCGCCGTTGATGGATAGACGATATGATAATCCGAGGTATTTAACAGCCGTCGGTGTCCTTTCTTACGTGCTGCATTTGCTCAGACGAACCCGGAGTCCGCTGAAGCCAAGACTTCGCTCATGAAGAGCTGCGTAGCTCTGTACAAGGAGCTGTTGCTCCTGGAGAACTTTGCTGTGATGAACTTCTGCGGCATTTCAAAGGTCCGCGATTTGTTGTCTGATTATTATTGTCGTTGACTTCGGTTTTAACTTCGATTTTTGTCTTGTAGATTTTGAAGAAACACGACAAGTGGACGGGATATGCCACACGCAACAAATTCATGCACACGATCTTGATGAAGCAGCCATTCGCGACGTACGAGCCGTTGTTGCACATGATTGATCGTCTAGAACATATCTTCATGCAGGCGACAGGTTCAAGTATTGAGCAACATGATGCGCAGAAGTCTTCCTCTCGACGAAGTGGAGGTGGCAGCAGCTCGTCTTCCTCGCCTTCAGGAGACACACCAGACAGCTCAAACCCCGCCACTGGAGGACCCGGCGGTAATGCTACTTCTGGCAACGATGACCTCGCAAACCACTCGCCAAGTCACACGCCACCTGGAGCCAGTGGAGGACGCCATGACGGACGCAGGTACAGAGGCGCAGTAGATGAGTCGTCTCCAAGATCTGAGGATTCCGTGACGCTAGTGCGAGTGAACGCGCTACGCGATGATGTCCGGGAACTACGAAAGATTGAGAGCGCTTATGATGGTGACGGAGAGTACGAGGAGAACCCGGACGACGCAACTTTCCCAGACGATGACTCAGACGTACCGCCACTACGCTTTGGTGGTCGTCCACAAGAAACGAAAACTACCGGGATGTTGCCCTCACTGCCGTTGCGTGTTGCTCCTGCCGGCACCCAGTCAGATAGTGACGCTGCAGCCATTGCTATGCTGTCTATGAAGGACGCGGGTATGCGCACGTCTGGACTCAGCAGTGACGGTGGTGACAGTGCAACGGATACTTGTCGGGCGCGGAGTACTAAGCGCAAAGCTTGTGGACCGCTAAACATGGAAGGCAAGCGCAAAATGAGCGTCACTGCGATTCTCAACTAGCCAGCGGCATCGGACAAACGAGCTGGAATGAAGAGGGTCTTCTTCACGTGAATAACTCGGTTTATATGCCGACATTAAATACACCAGCTAAGCTCCTATTGGGGGAAAGGGACGACACGTTGCATGTTGTTGCCATATTCATTCATCTTCCTTGGTTTCCTGTACTCATTCGGTCTTGTGTTCTACCTCCAGCAGACCAAGTTTCCCCAAACTACTCCTACACACGTTGTAAGCGTCTTTGACGCAGGCGGACAGAAAGCTCTAATGCTCCTTCGTCAAGCGTACTGCTGCCTTGCTCATTCGCCACGCGTCTGAGTTGCAACACCTTCCGTCTTTTGCCTAAAGTCTCGCTAGTAGTAGCGCCCAACTAAAAAGAAAATGATCGCACACACAAGCAGATGCAAAGGTCCGAAAGCCTGTACACAGATACGACACTTACAAGTTAGTATCATCTTCGTTGACAGCAGCCAATGAAAACGCTTGACGTACCCCCTGATCCTTGGGACCTTTGCTCGTGATCGCCTGAGAGTCTTCGGTGCCAGATACACCACTAGCGCCACCAGTTTTCCGATGACGCAGACCCGTCGACTCTTCTGAGATTTTCTTCACGCGCTGAGCATCAGTGTTCGCCTTCTGCAACAGCTGTCGGGTCTTGTCCAAGTCGCTCATCAGCACGTCACGCTGCGCCGTCAACTGCACTGTAAACGCCACCAGCTATGTGTATACAATAGCATAATAAAGTCATCAGCCACTCCCCAGTCTATCGACCATAGCAGCACCCTCTTACCTCGTCATATTTCTTGCGCAGGGCAGCAACCTCCTGGATGTCTTTGCCTCCTTCCCTGCTCTCTGCGACCTTGGGCTTGTCATCTTGCAGCAACGCCGACGAAAGCTGCATGGGCGTGGTCACCTCTTCTCGTGCCTCGTCACTCTGTCTAGTCTGGAATCTCGATTCCGAGGTTGCTGTTGTTTTGGCTGGAGATACGTTTGTCGACGACGGTCGCTGTGGACTGGGAGGTGAGGCAGGACGACCAGTGTCCTCGCCGTCTTGCACGAAGCGACAGCGCAGCTTCTTGTTGGATAAAGCACGCTTGTCTGTGCGTGCCCACATGTTGGTGAGCTCATCTGCCATCTCCTTGGTGGATTTCGTCTTGACTAACTCGTAGAAACTGTCGTCCACGTAGATACTCTGCACCAAAAACTTATCGTTGGCCAATTGGCGTTCGGCCGGGTCCAGTCGCAGCAGCTCGTCACAGTCCTTTTGCTGTAGAATTACCATAATGGAAGCCGAGCCATTTGGACCCAGGAGACCCTGGTTAGGTCGCACCAGATAACGCAGCGGCCGCGTCGTCTTGACCTTGAAGGCGATCTGTCGGTCATCCGCCACGTTGCGGATCGTCAGCACCGCCTGGGGCGCCGTCTGTGGCTGCAAGTGGAAGGACAGCGAGTCTGCCGGCTCCAGGATCACGCTCGAGTTGGGCGCCAGCGCCACGTCCACGCCGCTGCTCGCCATCGTCACTTGACCTACCGATCGACGTTACGAGTCTGCAGATGTTGTCTGTTGTTCTCAGCTCCCCCCTTGAATGGTGTTGGGTACACAAATTGACATGACCAGATTTATGTGTGGTACAATTCTGAAGATGAAAGGTAATTTGGATTTGGTATGCAAGAAACGCTGATCATGAAGACTTGGAGCCACTTCGCCTGACAGCGCGTCGTTTTACTCAGACCGTTTGGTCTTGCTCCGTGGCGGGCGTGTAGAGCCGCTGCAGCTGACCAAGCTGCGCTTCGTAGTCCTCGTCGCTCAGTCGCGCCATCGTCTCGGCGACGGACTGGAATGTGTTCATTGCCCGCTCATACTTCTGCGTCTGCTGAGGCGTCTCGAACTTGGGAGGAGGCGGGTGACCCAGCATCGACTGGGACAGCTGGCTACGTCGCATCATCTTGAGCAGTACGTCCGGGTACGCCTCATAGATCTCGCGGCTTACTGGGTGATTGTGCGTCACCACCTGAAGGACCACAACGCACAAATGTTAGCGTCCAATAAGATCGGAGTCCATCAAGGCGATGCTTACCTGGTCCGTGACGATCACCATGTACTTGGACGGGTTGTCGGCCGGGGTGATCTTAACATTGATCTTGGCCATGCAGCCGATGCCGCGGTACTTCTGTCCGGGACGGGTGTTGGCTCCACGGCAACGCGCCTTCATGGCGTGCGTACACATGTATATCCGGTGGTGATGGATGGCTTCGTCCGGGAACTCTGCGCGACGACCACGCGAGCTCTTGTTGTTAAGCATGACCTTCTGCTGATTACGACGGTAGGCCTCGACACTGCAGGACGAACGCATGCGGAAGGGCTGGAACGTCTCCTGCATGTACATTTCAAAATACGAGTCGAAGTCGAACCACGAGTTGAACGAAACGCGTGCCATGCGCTTGCTGTCGAACTTGACGTTAGCAGTCGCGTTCGGGTCGACGCCAACACCAGCGGCAGCCGCAGCAGCCACCGCGTCCTGCACGGGTGTGGTTGAGTCAGTCTTCAGCGGCTCCGGAGGCGGAACGACTGCTGCAGCGGCCGCCGCCGCGTCGAACGCGACATCTACACCCACAGTTTCCTTCATCTTGGCCACGACGTCGTGGATGTCATCGTCCTGTGTGGCCTGAGAGTCCTGCGAGTTGACATCATCAGCAGTGACGGCGTCGACGGTCGGCACAAGAGACGCGACGTCATCTTCACGTTCGCGGCGCTTCTCTCCCACCACCGGGTCGTGTTCCACCTTGCCAATGTCTTCAACCACCAATGCAGTCGTTACAGCGTCCGCAGGCATGTTTTCGTCGGCACCACTTGCCACCATAATTGACCGGATTTGGCGCGTGTGCAGATCGATTCGAAAGAAAGACTGCCACACCAGACTGGTGTGGCGCGATCCACAATTGCAACATAAAACCAAAATCCCCCCTCTTCCGCAGAAAAAACCTCAATCGCTGTGCGCCACACATTTCGTGTGGCGTACAAGAAAGATTCTGGGAAGGTGAGCCTCGTCCCTCTCAGGAGGAATAAACCTCGAGAAACTGGCTTCATGTGCACCACGTATTTTAAGTGATGAACACATTTTATGACATTCGGTACAATGTACCATGTTTCGCACAACCAACCAAACACCAGCACCGACGCTTGAAGGTACATCGAAGTGCTGGCAGCCAACGGTATTGACGCTGGTCATTTGGCAATCGTTCAGCAGCTCCCAACTTCGTCGATTGCACTCAATACATACATATACCATGGCCAAGAAGACGAAAGCTCCCGTTGCCGTGAAGCCTGCATCCAGCAGTGACAGCTCGTCGGACTCTAGCAGCGACGAGGCGCCGCAGAAGAAGGTGGTGGTGGCTAAGAAGGGTTCCAAGGCTGCCCCCAAGAAGCCCGTGGACTCGGACAGCTCGTCAGACTCGAGCTCCGACGAGGAGGAGGCTCCCAAGAAGGTGGTGGCGAAAAAGCCCGCCGCTAAGAAGGAGTCGAGCTCCGACTCTTCGGACTCGTCTTCAGACGAAGAGGAGGCCCCTAAGAAGGCCACGCCTGCCAAAAAGGTTGTTGCTAAGAAGGACAGCTCCGATCCGAGCTCCGATTCTCCGTCTGACGAGGAGGAGGCGCCCAAGAAGGCTGCCCCGGTTAAGAAGGCTGCTGCTAAGAAGGAAAGCTCCGACTCGAGCTCGGATTCCTCTTCGGATGAGGAGGAAGCGCCTAAAAAGGCCGCTCCGGTCAAGAAGGTCGCTGCTAAGAAGGAGGACAGCGACAGTTCGTCATCGGACTCTGACTCGTCGGATGACGAAAAGACTGCCAAGCCTGTCGCTAAGAAGACTGCTGCCAAGAAGGCTGAGTCTTCAACTTCGAGCGACTCGTCTTCGGACGAGGAAGAGGTCCCCATTGTTTCAAAAAAGCGTAAGAACTCGGACGCTGGCGAGAAGTCCAACAAGGCGCACAAGCAGGAGAACGGCGATGCCGCTGCTGTGGCCAACCCTCAAAAGACCCTGGAGATCTTCATTGCTGGTCTGCCGTGGTCCGCCACCGAGGACGAGGTCAAGGAGCACTTTGCTGGCTGTGGTGAAGTGACTGGTGCCCGTATCCCGCTGCAGAACGGCCGCTCTTCCGGAACTGCTTTTGTAACCTTCGCCACCTCGGAGGCTGCTGAGGCTGCTCTTGCCATGGACGGCCAGGATTTCGGTGGTCGCTGGATGAAGATCCGCACCGCTGAGAAGAAGAACATGTTCGACGAGAAGCCGGAGGGCTGCACCAGCGTCTTCATTGGCAACCTTTCATGGGACGTGGATGAGAACACGGTGCGTGAGACTTTCGGCGAGTGCGGTGAGATCCTCAGCTGCCGTCTGGCTACGGACCGCGAGACTGGCGAGTTCCGTGGCTTCGGACACGTGGACTTTGCCTCCACAGAAGCTGTCGACGAGGCTGTTAAGCTGGCTGGATCTTACGTGAATGGCCGTGCCATTCGTGTGAACTACGCCAAGTCTCGCGACAACAACGGCGGTGGTGGTCGCGGTGGCTTCGGTGGACGTGGAGGCGGCCGTGGCGGCCGTGGAGGACGCGGTGGCTTTGATGGAGGCCGTGGCTTTGGCGGCCGTGGAGGTGGCCGCGGAGGCGGTCGTGGACGCGGTGGCGGCTTCGGTGGACGTGGCGGACGTGGTGGACGCGGTGATGGCCCGCCGAAGCGTCAGTCGTCATCCATCCAGAACTTCCAGGGTTCCAAGATGACTTTCGACTAATTTAATGGGGCAACCTTCTCATAGGCCAAGGATACGAACACAGGGAGGCACCAATGGCGCATCACTCGGAAGAGGGGAAGCGCAGTCAGAACCCTCTGTCGCGTATTGACTAGTTTTGCATTGCTTTGAGATTCAATCGATTCTGTTTTCATAGACTCAAAAACGTTTTGGTAAAGATGCTTACAGTACACGACGTAAGAACAGCTTTATCACTTAAGCAAAAAACCTCTGATCCAACTGTAGGGTTTCATATACCACAGTAGTACTACAAACGCTCTTACTTCAACAAAAATCTTATATCCAGCTGTACAGTCGACTCAGTATTTGTGAAATATAACAAGTGAGATGCTAAATGGTATTTTTCACAATTTCGACTGTGAAGCTCATTAACGTAGTTCCCACTCTACGAATTGTGTTGCAAGGCGTTCAAAAAACAATAAATCACCATAATATTTGTAATGCCGTCCGGTAAACTTGCGATAACTTAAGCTCTGCCCAAAAAATTTAAACGAAACATTTATTGAAGTCAGGGGAAAGCGTGCGCCAAAAGAAAAGTGCCGCCCCCGCTGCTCGGACGGATGGAAGCTTCTAAAAGCTTCTAGAAGCTTCCACAAGCTTGAATGTTTATTAATTACTATACTATACATTCCATAGTACTACTAACAACCCATTGCAATAAGATAATAATATTACCCAATCGGATACACTCACCCTCCCTTTGGCAACCACCGCCGTCTCAACAGGGACTCGCTCGAACCAGTGCCATCCTCGCCTACGGGCCTGGCTTCACTGGAATTGAGTGGGTTCCAGCCCGAGGCGGTCACCACGGCTTCATTACGCCCGTCTGTTTCCTCTCGTGCTCTCTTGGTGGAGCTCCAGTCTACTGCTGGGCTCCGGGCGACTAGGTCACGGCGAGCACGCGCCTCTTTGGCCCGACCATCATCAGAAACGACCGCAAAGTGTCCACAGGCTGCAACGCGGCCTGCTTCAGCGTCACCACCGCCATCACCGCCGCTACCGTCACCTCTGTCGCGTTCGTCGTCTCCGTTGCCTCCGTCGCCACCACTACCATCGCCGCTGTCTTCTCCGTTGCCTGTTGGATCTCCTGCGGTTTCGCCCGTCCCTGCTCTGTCGGCTGGTTCTCCGCCGTTTCTGTTAAACACCGCCCTCGCATCACCTGTAGATGACGCTTCGGTGGCGTCAGATATGTCGTGCGAATTGTTCTTAAGCCGTCTGAAGGAGTTGCATCGTAGCCCGCTCTTCGGCAGCTCAAGTGAAGAATCAGAGGAGGACGACTCGGATGGTCTGCGCGCGGTACGTCCGCCATCCCCCACTCCATCAGCGAATGATCTGTTTAATAATGACAGCGATGAGGAGCCTGAGCCTGTTGGTGGACTTAATCGCCTGAGGCGTAGTACCGACCCTGGTGACTGGCATCCGTATGCCTTGCCTCCTGTCCCGGCGAAACATCCCGCGAACGGCCGTGTCAACCACTACGATCCAGCGGTACGTTGGGATTACTCCGTTCCAGTCAGCGGTGAGCAGCTCCACGACGTTCGCGGCGAATATCTGCATCGGTGCTTTCTCGAGGAATGGCAAATTACATAGCTTCAGCTGAGCTGGTTATGGGCGGAGCAACTGGCTCAGCGAGTCGCTCGCCGTATGGATCAAGTAATGTAGTGGTGTGAAGATCTGCGCCGTGGTGCATTCGCCAATTATTACAAGAAGTATTTCGTGCGTCGTGACCAGGCTTCTTCTGCTGGGGACTGCTTCATGGACGCGTTTTGCGCGGCGCTTTACCACCTTGGTGAGACTGGTCTTGCCTCCACGGCCGCTGAACTATGGGTGGACTTCGAGCCAAGCACTGTCGACGGAGTTTCTCGTGCGGAAGCCAAGAAATTCTTTCGCTGTCTTCAGCGCAGCGATTTCCCGTTGGATTATGATCTTCTCTTTCAAAGTCCACTCGATGCTTCATACATGAATGTGGAACGGTTTCAGGCGTTTGTCCAAACGCTGCGTGAGGGAGTATATCTCACGAGTATTGGTGATGGCCTCGTCGGACACTGCGTTGTTGCTCTCGCGAAGGGCCCAGACACTGCTGTCTCGGTACTGGATGGGGTTGAACCGCCTGTGACCCCTGAGCCTTTGACCAACTTGGAATATATCGACAAGGTCAAATGGATGGGGCTTATGAAGCTGAGTCTAGGGTATCGTTGCCGCAGCGAGAAACGCAAGTCCAGGCCTAATCGAAAGAAAGATCGCCGCGAGAAGAAGAAGCAGCAGAAGTTGTAGGGGATGCAATGACTATGTACAGTAGACTCTCGGGTCCTATTTCATCTTGACTTTGCCGTCCACCTTCTTCGCCGTTTCCTTCTCCTGGATGCTTCGAGGTCTGCAATGAGATCTGGGAACTGTGAGAGATTCTCGATCGGCTACCGAGTGGGTTTCTTCTCATCCACCCACTCCACAAGAAATTGGGTTCGTCGCTTGTGCGTTCGCTTACCGAGAAGTCTTTGAAGAGCTGTCCAGCTGTACCGTCGGCTAGAAGGACATCATGGGGTCTCGACATTCGAGTGGCCTCCTTGAATGGCTTCAAATATCCGGTGTTGAAGACTGCATAAAGTTTGTCCGGCTTGGATGTGGAGCTCGTACGCGAGATTGTGAATCCTCTTCACCACTGTATAGGGATCTATCCACTCCGGACCAAGCTTGCTTGAGTTGGGTAACCCTTTATGTCTGCGATCCAAGTGTTTCGAGCTCAAGTACACGCGGTCGCCAACGTCGAAGACTTGCTCCTCTCAATTTCGGTCGCACACGTCGCGCATTCGTTCTTGCGCTTCCGCTAGTGCTTCCTGGAACCGCCGAAGAAGAGCTGCTTGGCGCTCGTGGAACTCAGTGCCGCGTCGACTTGTTCGGACCCTGCCACGTTTCTCGGCTGTGAGCTGGAGAGGACTGAGAGGGATGTATCCGAGATCAGCTTCGAAATGCGCCATCTTGATACTGCTGTTCACGGTCGAATTATCTGCAAACTCGGCATTGGCAAGATGGATATCCCAGTCGTCTTGAACTGGTCCAACATAGTACCTCAGGTATTCTTCGAGTGTTCTGTTCATCCGCTCCGCCTGGCCGTCTCCCTGAGCTCGATGCGTCACTGTCATCTTCAGCGTTGATCCGATTGATTTGAAGACGTGTTGCCAGAACTTCGAAGCGAGCTTTCTGTCTCTGTCGGATATGGTATTTCATGAAGTTTCTAGATATGGTCGATGAAGAGACGGGCAACGCCTTCGGCATCTACCTTCTTCGTAGTTGGCACAAAGTGACAACGCTTTGTCAGTCAGTCGACGACGACCCATATGGAATCTACCTCTCGCTTTGTTCGTGGCAAGTCGGTGATGAAGCCCATCGAAATCGATATCCACCGTTCGTCGGGAACACGCAATGGTTCCAGCAGTCCCGGTGGCTTCGTTAGCCTCGGTTTGATCCGTCGACAAGGCTCACAGTCGGCGATGTACGATTGGATTGACTTCAACATCTTGGTCCAGTACCACCTCCTAGCCAGTGTCAAGTACGTCCGCTCCTCCTCCTCCGTAGTTGGAATCGTGACACTCACGGTTGACCACCTGCCGCAACGTCACATCGTTGGGTACTACGATACGTGGTCCATCGTCGGATGGAGTCTGGTACCACAGCAAACCGTTGTCTTCCGAATAGCAGCGATATTGTTTCTTCTGTTGTCGCCTGGCTTTCGGCTGCTGGCTATCTGCACGCCGCTGGATTGCTGTGAGTATCGCTTTTGCTTCTCGATCTCTCTTGAACGCCTTTTTGATCTTGGTTATCAACTCGCTGTCTGTGGCCACCTCGCTGACTGCCAAACTGAAGGATGCATCATTGAAGCTGGTCACACTCAAATCATGGAAGTACGTCTTCAGTTGCAAGTCTGGCCTTCGGCTAAGTCCGTCTGCGATCCCGTTCTTCGCACACGGAAGGTATGAGAACGTTGGCTGATACTCTGCGAGGAGGTCATACCAGCGCGCAAGACGAGGACTTGCCATCTTCTGAGTAAAGAGACCTTCAAGACTCTTGTGATCCGTCTCCACGATTGGTGGCTTGTCAAAGCAATAAATCCGGAAAGCTGCCAGCGCGTGAGCAATTGCCAAAAGTTCTTGCTGTTGCGTCGGGTATTTGATCTCCGCGAATTTCATCTTCCTACTGGTAAAAGCAATCGGTAGCTCAACACCATCGACAACCTGGAACAGGACTCCCCCGACTGCAAACTTGCTAGCGTCCGTACGCAAATGCATTGGCTGATTGAAGTCCGGCAAGTGCAGCACTGGTGGATTGCACAGCCGTCGCTTCAGCTCCTTGAAGTTCTTCAACTGCTCTTCGTCGAAACAAATCTTCGCATTGCGCTTGGACTTCTTCTTGAGCAAGGTAAACATACTTGCAGTCAGCTTCGCGTAGTCTGAGCAGAATCGTTGGACGCATCCAGTTTAGCCGAGGAAGCTGTGAAGCTCCTCTTGCGTTCTTGGAATTGGCTAGTTCTTTATGGTATGCACCTTATCTGGATCCATCCACATGCCGTTTCTTCCAACACAATCTCCAAGGCATGGAATCTCGTCGGCACAGAAGACACACTTGAACAGCTTCACATATAACTTGTTGTCTCGCAAGATGTCCAACGTTTTGCGGAGAGCTTTCAAATAATCTTCAATCTTCTGCGACTTAGTGAAGACGTAGATGCCATCGTGGAACGACTTTGGGTTTTCCAGATCGCGAAACAGTTTCGACGTCAGCCGATGCATCATTGCTGGCGCGTTGCTGATACCCATTGGTAGCTCCAGGTACTCCCAGAGTCCGTTTGGCGCCTGGAGCGCTGTGAATTTAGTATCTTCCGCACGCATACGAACTTAATAATACGGGTACATCAAGTCCATCGTTGAAAAACAGTACACTCCGGCCATGGCGTCCAGTATGTCTTCTTTCCTTGTCATCAATATACTCTGCCGTATCGTATTGGAGTTCAAGGAACGATAATAGTAAACGATCCGCCATCCAACTGGTTTACGGACGCAGAATGTTGAGGCCGCGAGCGGGCTGATGCTAGGTC